GGAGGGTGGGGAAACTGTGGTTGGGATTTAAAATAAATGAATAAATTTAATTAACAAAAATATCTTTGAGTATTTTTAATATTATATTTAAAATTTGTAAATATAGACTGATCTTTTGCCTGCATATATATGTGTGTACCACATGCATGCCTGGTACCGAAGAGGCCAGCAGAGGGCACTAGACCCCTTGGAACTGGAGTTACAGGGCTTGTGAGCTGCCCTGTGTGTGCTAGGAAGTGAAACTGGGACAGCAGGGAGTGTTCTTAACCACTGAACCACCGCTCCATCCTCCTTCATATAATATTTCGAACCAAATAAAGGAAAACTGAAAGTAAAAAGGAACCAGGATATGACAACCACACATGATATAGCCTGTGTTTTCTTGTATTAGAGAGGACATTGGCAACATTGTTAATCATTTAATAAAGTCTACATACCAGAAATGCTGAGTTCCTGATTTTCATATATTATACTCAGCGGCTTGTTCTTAGGTATTAAGAAAGAAAGAAATACATATATGCATGCAGGATACAGAGTACATATCTATACAAATGTGTGTGTATAGGTGCATAGATGCGCATATGTACAAACATGCTCAGAAGTCAGGGGCAAAGAGGCCAATGTTAAGAATTTCAGCCACTCACTCAGTCATGGTGAATCACGTGACTGTGTGTACATGCACAGAAACTTGGGGAATACAGATAAAGTGAACATGGCAAAATGTAGTAAAACCATCCTTCAGGAAAGGAGTGTTTGTCTGACTCACTACTTTTTAACTCAACAGAATTAACTGACCATGAAATAAATTTCAAAAAAGTAAAAGAGACAACACGGTTTTACAATTAGGAAATCTCAAAATTAAAAAACGGTGACACGCTGTTTTTCCAGCCGATAGGTGGTGCCATAAAGTACTACTTTCTAAACCCAACTTTCAACAGCCAGGGCACTGAGAAAATCCTGGGGTACTCCAGTCACAAAGAGACAAACATGGCATGCACTCACTCATATGTGGATTTTACACATAGAGCAAGGGAATATCAGCCTACAATCCACACCACTAGAGAAGCTAGGCAACAAGGAGGACTCTAAGAGAGACATACATGGTCTCCTAGAGAAGGGGAAAGGGACATGATCTCCTGAGCAAATTGGGAGCATGGGGGGAGGGGAGAGGGAGCTAAGAGAATGAGAAGGGGAGAAGAGGAGGGTAGAGGAGGACATGAGGGAGCAGGAAAGATGTGTAGGGGGAAGAATAGAGGAGAGAAAAATAAGAGATACCATCAGAGAGGGAGCCAGCATAGGGTTAAAGAGAAATCAGGCACTAGGGAAATGACCAGAGATCTACAAGAATGACACCAACCAACCGTCTAAGCAACAGTGGAGAGGCTACCTTAAATGCCTCCCCTGATGAGATTGATGACTAACTTATATGCCATCCTAGAGCCTTCATCTAGCAGCTGATGGAAGTAAAGCAGACACCCACAGCTAAACACTGAACTGAACTGGAATCCAGTTGCAGAGGAGGAGGAGTGATGAGCAAAGGGGTCAAGACCAGGCTGGTGAAACCCACAGAAACAGCTGACCTGAACAAAGGGGAGCTCTTGGTCCCCAGACTGATCACTGGGAAACCAGCATGGGACTGATCCAGACCCCACGAATGTGGGTGTCAGTGAGGAGACCTCAGAAATCTATGGGGCTTCTTGTAGTAGATCAGTACTTATCCCTAGCATAGGAATGGACTTTGGGAGCCCATTTCACATAGAGGGATACTCCCTGAGCCTAGACACACGGGGGTTGGCCTAGGCCCTATCCCAAAGGATATGACAGACTCTGAAACCCCCCCCATGGAAGGCCTCACTCTCCCTGGGGAGCAGAAATGGTATGGGATAGGTAGGGTGTTAATGGAGGGCAGGGGAGAAGGGAAGGGAGAGGGAGCTGGGATTGACATGTAAAACAATCTTGTTTCTAATTTAAATTAAAAACATGGAGAAAAAAAATCCTTGGGTACTGTGTCACTTGCATGATAGTAAGCCAAGTGATTACACTGGTGTGCACAGATAGAACACAAATGCAATGCAATAATACACAAGTCTCTTTGCAATTACAACTAAAGCATACTGTTATGGCTGGCACAGAGCCAAACTACTCTCTCTGTATGTGGTAACAATTCCTGTGAAATCTCATGAGAGTTAAAATGAACAGTTGGAGGAGAATAATGTTGCACACTCATCTTACAAAGGCAAACATGAAGATTCTAGACATTCACCTGATTAGCATTAGGATTTCTTTTGTTTATAAGCCATATGTGCAAACTGTAATATATCATAAATACACAGGTGATCTGAAAACATCTTGCATTTTCTGTTAAAATATACTGAACTATACTCAATGAGTTTTACATGTGTGTGTGTGTGTGTGTGTGTGTGTGTGTGTGTGTGTGTGTAGAGATGTGCATACATGTGGCGGTCACAGGACAACTTGCAGGAATTGTTCCTTCCTCCCACAGTGTTGGCTTTGAGGATCGAATTCAGATCATCGGGCTTAGCAGTAAGTCCTTTACCCATTGACCTGTCTCACCAACCCTGCCAGGGACTTTTTTATAGACTTAAGTCTTACCACTGAATTTGCCTAAGTAAATAACATTGGCTCAGTCTAATTCTACATTCCTAGAATTCAACTGCCATCTACCAGAAGTGATGTTTATAATAATCATTTATTTGTTGAACAAACTTAAATGTGGCTTATTTTTAATGAATGTTTTTAGAATCTCAAATGTTTTAATGGTCCTTCTATTAATGCATTTTAAAAGCCCCATTTAATATAACTATTAAAATTTCAAATTACTTAACCTAATTACTGTTGTATTAATTTAGTGATTTTTTTTTTTTTTTTTTACCTTTAAGAGTTAGACGGATCACTCGCTATTTTCTCCAAATTTCTAAATGCAACAGACATAGTTGTGAATCTTCCTTTCAGTGAGTTCTTAGGTTGGAGGGAAAATGCCAGTTTCCTAGATGGATCCCTTTACCTATTGTACAGTCAGGATCACAGATCCACAATGGAGGAGGGCACCAGCAGAAGAGAAAGTCCTGGAATTAGCTGGCAGAAATTTTTCAAAAGCAATTTTAAAGATATTCTTTCCTCTTTTTTTCTTTTCACAGTACCAATGGTCAAGGACTAGAGGGGGGTGATTCAAGGAAAACCAGCAGCCCTTTCATGGAATGACCTCAGTTTCTCTTGAAAACATTTGGTCGCAGTGGTTTTATTTAATCAACATGTCTGTGGGCCATGGAGAAAACAGTTAAGGCAGGACATCCAGCCATTGTGACAGCTCAACACGACACACCCTGACTCTCCACTTGAATTTCTGGTACTCTTGCTTTCTTTACTATTTTTAAGTAAGTCACTAGAGCGCCTCCCATTCAGTAATGAAGCTGAATGAACCCCACATGCCTTCCTGCTCAGGGACACAACACAGATCAAGGTGACAAGAATAATGACTCACCAAGATGAAAGGGAAGTACTTTGCTGGACAGTATGAAGGTCTTTGTTTTAAAAGGCTTGTTCTGGGCTTTTACTCAGGTAAAGGACTGCACACTGAAGAGGTTTGGAGCTGGGTGGGGTCTTGGTGTGAAAAAGCTAGAAGGGCTCAGGCAGTGATCAGTGCAGACCAAGTCTTACAGATGTGACACACAGATGAGACCTGCTGGGATGCAGACTTGAAAGAGAAGCATGGGAGGGTGGATGCCCTAAGGACAGACAGGAGAGTCAGCAGAGCTTTACAGCAGAAACCAGGCACAACCAGCATGTGCCCAGGAACTCTCCATAGGGACAAGGCCTTTTTAGAAGGTATCGTGTAACAACAGAGCATTTTCCACAAACGGAGTAGCAACTATGTTTTTCTGTTTGTTGTTACAGTACAGTGGTTATCAGTTGAAAAGGGAAGGCTCAGGACTAAGGTGGTGTGTGTCTCTTTTTCTGGTAGAGTCTCCTTTAAGGATCTAGGAGGACGAAGCATTTGGGTTAGTCAGTAACGTTGATAAAGAACATGAAACACATGGAGCGCTGACCTAGCCCTTCTCTGTGGAATTAACAGATGTAGTCACAAGGACAACAACAATTAAATTTAATGTAATCAGAAAGAGAGGTAAGCCAGCAAATCTACAGAGAAAAGATGGAAGAAAGGAAGTGTAGGAGAGAGATTTCTCAAAGACCAACCTATGGGTAAGACAACAGCATTAATCAAGACCAGACAAACAAAATACCCAACCTCTTCAGGAGTTAAATAAGGATCCATGTTTTAGAAAAATAGAACTAGGAAACTTAAAAGTAAAGTGTAGAGTATAGTAGGAATTGGCTTCAAAGAGACCAACCAATAATTAACCTATATAACCTACATATAGCCATAACCTATAAGATATGATATATTCTGATATACTGCTACTCAGATAAGACTATGCACCATATAGTTCATGGCAGCATACGATTATGTAGTCTCTAAATAAGCATGCTTGCATTTTCTCTATGTGGCATTACAGCCAGCCTCTCTCTCCTCTGCAGTTCACTTCAATATGTGAAACTGTATGGTCCTTACCCAATACATTACATTGACACGTACCCAGTATGTCATTGACAGATAATGGCGTATGTTTTTATTGCACCTTACTGTCAGGTCTCTACTTACCAATCAAAAACCCATCCATATTTATTACATGGTTTTATTTTACATTAAAAACTTGAAGGCCTCAAGATATAGCCACACAGAGCAAATTCAGATCCTCTACTATTTCAGTGAGAGTGGAAAACATTTTTTTATATAAAGAATTATATTTGCAAGCCTATCACCATCTAGGGAAATGTGGATCCATGTACTGAGTGCTTTTAGACAGCAAACAACAAAAACAAACAAATATAACCCCCAGAAGGGCTGACCATTTCTAACACCCATGAGTAGTATCTGATGTGAAAAGTGTACAGAAAGTCAGTCAGCCGCACACACCTACCTGCATTGGAGCCAGTCAAATTATAGCGGGCATTCAGCTTTTTGATGATGTTCTCGTGGATTTGATACCACTCACTCTCTGTGTTACACCTATGAAAACACAACCATTTGGTTAGTGGAAAGACACAAGTGACAGCAACACCCTCGCATGGCTCTAACCACTGGAATTTGTTTTTCTCCTTGGAGTCCCCAGTGCCTGGCCATGAGACATTCTTAGCATGCTTGGCCCAGCACAGGCAGAAATGCTCAACTTGGCAGTAGCTAACTATCTACCTCAATCCATTGAGTGACAGGTGGTGAAAACTAAGAATTTGATAACTAAGATTCAAACTTACATTCTTAAATGAGTTACTTTGGGGGCAAGTTGATCACTTTCTCTGCAGCCTGCTTTCCTCATGCATTAAACTTGAGTAATTAACATATTAGAATGTTAAACAAACATAAGCTTAAGTAGTGCCTGACAAACAGTAAATGCTCAATAAGTAAAGGTTCTCGTTAGAAAACTTCTGCCTTCTGTAACATGACTGGGTTTGGCTAAAGTCAAAATGCTACCAATTAAGTGAAATGAAATCAATGCTAACAAAATGTACACTGGTGAAAGCCTGCCAGGATTGATCAGAGGGTAATGCAAAATATTTTCAGATTTTCCATGTCTCAGAGACCACTATGCCATCATTAGAACTGTGTCTACCGCTTTGCTTTTGGTTCTTCTCCTTTTTTTTTTTTTGTTTGTTTTCCAGTGCCTAGGGCCTCATATATGCTAGGCAAGTGTTCTACGACCATGCTACATAGTTCCAGCCCTTGCTTTTAGTTCTTGTTACTCACTAGCTCGTGCTACTTTTGCATGGCATAAGTCACCAAGCTGGGCTGTCAGGGGTCATAAGGACTGGATATAGGAGTAACATTGAGTATTTTGAACATAGTAAAGCCTTAAAACTACCAATTGCATAGATGTATGAAAAGATAGGTGGATGGATGGATGGATGGATGGATGGATGGATGGATGGATGGATGGACAGATGGATGGGGGTTGGGTATCTCATTGACTAGTAACTACTAATGGCTAATAAACATTTGAGTCTTCTGGTCATCTGTATTGCAACAACTGCTTTGGGGTTGCAGAGAACTTCCATATCTAGATGAGTTATAAGTTTGCTATAAATGCTCTCTCCTGAGGGCCTTATCTATCAAGACTCCATATACTATCAATACAACACCAATGTTCCACAGCACCAGTCCTCTCTGTGAGCATGTCTGAGTATATAAGCTTACATATGTACATCATGGGTCTGCCAGGAGAGATGGGATGAGTGTTATTTTCAGGACAGCTAACAGTGAAATACCAACCTGAGCCTTGGCTCTCAGAAGACTATAAAATCTAGATGGAAAATCATTCCACCTATCTAACTATGAGACAGAAAATCTATCTAGTACTTTTCAAAGAAAATCTCAAATTTTCTTATTTCTTCCCAGTACAGAAGAAAGACTCTAGAATTCCTGTTTTGACCTAAAACACCTCTGAGCAAAATCAGAAGTTCTATAGCAGGTGGCTGAAATACCTTCCAGATTCAGGCATGGTATTTGTTATTATTATTATTATTATTTTGAGTCTCAGATGGAGGTAAGGATTCTGTCACTTGAACAAATAGAATTTCTTCCAGATGAATTCCAGCAAGCATCTCACTCAAGCATTACTAAGACTGTCAGAGATGGCTTTCACTACTTAGTATGGGAACTGTTTCACAATTGGCTGATTTTGACAGCAGAGAGAATAACCAATAACATAATTTGATTCCTAAGAAAAAGACAATAAAACAACTACAAGCAGCACCACAGTTTATTTTTATATCGGTCTTTTTCAGCTGGTTGCATAATCAGGGGTGACTCCTGTCACTGTCAGCCCCTCAGTCTTCCACATCTGTCACTGTACCTGGAAAGACCATGCTATGAAACAATAGGACTGTGTTTGCCGAGTTTTGGCTTTCTTCAGTAATGCCATGTTCTGTCATGCTCACGTTACTAGATGGTGGTGTGAAATAACATCCAAGGAAAGAGAAGCCAATGAACTGGGAGCTAGGGTTACAGAGTCACACATATTTTGAACCCTTCCTTAGTACCTGGGTGACAAGGTACTTAACTCTCAATCTCCTGTGTGGTCCAACAGCATTTGCTTCGTGGTTTTGCTGTTAGGATGAAGTGACACAGCACATGTAAAGTCCTGAATAGAGTCCTTTGCACAGAGTATATGTGGTGGTTTGAATAGGAACGGCCCCCAATAGATTCATGTGTTTGAATGCTTAGCCCATAGGGAGTGGCACAGTTAGTAGGTGTGGCCTTACTGGAGCTGTTGTGTCACTGTGGGAATGGGCTTTGAGGTCTCATATGCTCAAGTTATGCCCAGAGTGACATACAGTCTTTCCTACTGCCTACCAATCAAGATGGAGAAATCTCAGCTCCTTCTGCCTACATGCTTCCATTTTCCATTGTGATGATGATGAACTAAACCTCTGAACTGTAAGCCAGCCTCAATTAAATGTTTCCATTGAAACAGTTACCATGATCATAGTGTCTCTTCACAGCAATAAAACCCTAAACTAGGACAGTATACAAGCAAAGGAAAGTGGATTGTACTAATCACGACTAAGTTATATATTATGATTATGAGTAACATTTAGGGCAAAATACCACAATGGATTTAATCACAACTATTAATAATGAGGGCTGCCATGAGAAAAAAGAGTAACAAATTCCATTGCCCACTAGTTTCAAGATGTTTGCAAGTTTAAAATGAAGGTCATAGGATTAACCCATTTACAAAGAGAAAAATATCTCTGGTTCAAAACCAGAGGCTACAGATAACACAATCCGTTTGTCAACTGTGCTGCAGTGGCCCCACTGGGGTGGAAAAGTGGATAAATCCATGAAGCCCCAAAGCTGTGGTCACAAAGCAATATTTTGACCAAGCATTGGCAAATGGCCAACTGTACTATCACCCACAAAAAAAAAAAAAAAAAAAAAAAAAAAAAAACAACAACAACAACAAAAAAACCCACCCTACAGAAACAGAACAAAACATCTATTGCTATATGCTATAAGTAGCAATACAAGTTTAATCCTGGAACTGGCCCACAATGTAGTTCTCGAACACAAAAATGGATGCTGTACTGTGTCTACCTGGATCATGACACTGTCCATCAGATCTTATCTACCTTCGAGGAGGTGTCAGGGTGGTCTGATGTAGACACATGTTTACATCATCAACTTAGACATCATTTAACTTAAAATCTGTACTAGACCCCATGATCTTCTTAGGAGTATCAGGGGTTTAAACTCACTGATACCCACTCCAATACGGCATTGAAAGATTAACCCCCAGGACCTTGGAATGTGACCTTATTTGGAAAGATGATTTTGACAGAGGTAATCAAGTTCTAGTGAGGTCTTTGGGGGTAAGCTTCAATCCAGTATTATTGTGTCCTTACAAAGCAAGAGATAGACACAAAGTCTGTTGTGCACCCAGGGAAAGTGTCGTGTAGTGATGCAGGAAGAGGTTAGACTGATGTATCACGAGGTATGGATGCCAGGAGAAAGCCATGACGCAGATGTCTGTACAGTCCTTACCCGTGAAGGAAGCAAACTCACCTTGACCTCAGACTTCTGTCTGTTAGTTCTGTCTCCAGAGCTAACTGGAAGATGATAAACTCTGCTGCATAAACCAAGTTCCTCAGGGTCTGTTACTGAAGCAGCTCCAGGCAGCTAACACACAAAGCAGGGGGGGCAACCATCCGTGCTCCCTTTCTTGATTCTAACTTACTCATATTTTAAAACAATCGATTTTCACTTACTAAGAACAAGGGAATTATGTAAAGGTAAGGGATATGTTGCTTTTGAACTAGAGGAGGCTCTCTGTCTATGTGGATGGCCTCCTTAAACCAACAAAATGCATTTATTGATAATCCCACTTCATAGTTCCTCCATCTGGCTCATTTGTAGCAGGTCCTTAGATTGTAAGAATTTTGACAAATGACTCCATTCTACTGTTTATCTTATATCGTTCAATTACCCATTGAAAGTACACCACCAAGGTACCCCAGGACCACACCAATCCTACCACACAAATGTTTCTTACATGTACACTTTCAGGACAAGGTCATCCTTCGTCTCTCCTGTTAGAAGATCTGCGATGCTAAGAACTGCACAGCCAAAAGGTCGCCGATACTGAACACTGCAGGCATTCTTTTTTTCTCCTGCTCCCATTCGTCCTGTCCAGTTAATAAGCAATCATGGCCCAAGAAGACATGTGAGTAAATGCATCTTAGCTACTGACATGGGTACAAGACAGGCCATATGCAATGGAACAAGGTGCTAGCAAGGAAATGTCTTTAGGGCAACAGAAAACTTCACTTCACATAAGGACTCTTGTTTAAATCACCCAGCTGTCTGACCCTGAGTGAGAGGCTTAAACTCTGAACATGAGAAACATGTAAAAACTCAAAAATTGGAGCAGATATCATGCCTGGAAAGCATTCTCTTGCTTTGATGACACATGAAAGCATCCCACCAGGTACAAATCATTAAGGGCAGTCATGGTACCCATTTTATTTTCTACCTTAAAAATCATATATTCAAAAACCACTTAAAAAATGTCAACTTTTGTCAGATGTCCTGGGACATGACTGTAAGCCCAGCACTTGGAAGGCTGAGACAAGTGACTGAGAGTAATGCCACTGTGGGCTGTCTAGAAAGATCCTGTCTCAAAATCAAAACCACAAAGATTCGTATCTGGAAGGAAGCAGATTGGAGACTCTGATGGAACGCATGTGTCCCTGCCTTGGGACACAGGTGCTTTCCAATTCAGCCCTGTTCCGATATTTCTGGGCTGATTCTGACAGTTAAAAACTTTTAGTTCATTTTAAGTCTTTAAGGTTTTTTTTAAAGATTTTATTTATTCAAATGGTTGTTTTGTTGGCATGCCTGTGCACCACATGTGTGCAGTGCTCTCAGAGGCCAGAAGAAGGCACTGTATGCCTTGGAACTGGAGTTAGAAACAGCTCTGAGCTACCATGGGAATGCTGGAGATCAAAGCCAGGTCCTCTGGAAGTTAAGTGTTCTTAGCCACCGAGTCACCTCTCTATCCCTTGTTGAGTATTTTAATACATACTATGGGCATATTGTTTCTTATTATTATTTAATGAACAGTTGCTATCTTTGTAGACTATATGCAACATCTTGGAAGTCTGGAGCTGAAATAGTGTATGTTAACATAAATGGAAAATGGTAAATTCATCTACAGAACCACAACAGGTAAATATTTTATTTTCCACCAGTACAGTACTCTACAGTGTTTCAGGATATATCTGGCACTCCCTTAGTCTAATCTGAAATAGAAATAAAAAGACAGCACTATCCAATTTTGTGCTCATCAGTCGGTCTTTCTTTTTTTCTAGTCCTCTTCCTCTAGCATACGCACTACACAATACGAAGCAAACTGTGCGAAGGAGGGGGACTGAGAATTCCTGCTCTCACTGGGAAGACCCTGCACTAATTCCTCAGTTGGCTTCAGTTGGCCTCGCCTCCAGTCCTTGAACATGGTTTGAGGGTCTCTCTTCTGGCTCTGTAGGCACATACAGCTTTGGTGCAATCACAATACCAGAAAGATTTGGTGTTCTCAACTATAAGACTGATGATAACAATTTAGTTCTGGTTGGTTTCCAGGGAAATCCTCTAAATAGGAAGAAAGAGCAGAGGAAGATAAAGTACTGAGCAACCAGCTAAGCACCAAAAAGGAATCACAGAGGCTACTCTGAGATGAGCTGAGATTCAAAAACTAACTTCTCCTTTTGCTTTCTTCCTCTTCTTTCAATCAAGGACTTGGTCATAAATTCGCAGAACTGAGGTGTTAACTGCTTTTGCTTTTGGCAGGCAGTGAGGGTCACTATGCCCTTTTCCCAGTAAAGCAGGTACAAGTGACATTCTATAAAAAGCAAGAAGCATCTGTCCTTGACAGATAATAATCTTCTCCTTAATTTCACTGCATCAAGAACACTGGCAGATAAGTCTTAACCTTTCTTAAGTGCTTTACTTTAGTTTCATTTCTGATCACTTTCTAACTATGGAACCAACAACTATTGTTTTGCAAGGATTTATTTGACCAATAGGGAGTAAGGATAGGTAGGTAGTTGCTACTTCAAAATTTATTTTGATGAATTATTATCATGAAAATCTTGTGAGGGGGGAAAAAGACAATTACTAACAAAATACACTGTATTTGAAAGGCCATTCCAGGTATTACAGCACCAAGCAAGGAAGGTAGCATCCTCAACAATGACTCTGTGAGTGAAGACCATGTAATACAAGGGCTCATGCTTTGATGATTGTTATCCTACCATACCAAATTGACATGTACTATCTAGAATGTTCTCAAACCCAGAAAGTTAGGATAATCAAGATGCTATGCCATCCACACCACTCATTTACATGAGGTGCTATGCTGGGAAATGCCTCCTTTTAGAAGAATTTCATGTAGAAAAATGAAGGAGAGTATTCTCTCTCTACCAAATATTGTTCTGTTAGATGTGAATAAATGTGTTATCTAAATGTTTTCATGATCAGATCAAATTTGAGAAAGTTAAGAGTTTACACCACTAGGAAGGCATATTCATGTTTCCCTGTTGGGCTTCTCAGATTCTTGAATAAGCTGATATTACATGTTCAGTATTTTAATACATACTATGGGCACATTGTTTCGGAAACATACAGTTTCTACTGTCTCAAAATGTCCCTTCTCATATGATATTCCATTAATATATTCCACAGAACTCTGTGGTCAAGATAATGCTAGTTGCTACACAGATTTCATAAGCTTGGATGATGCTAAACTCCTAAAAGGAGATTTTCTGGTATTATACACTGGAATTGGAAAGAAAAATACAACATGTTTGAATCAAATATGTGTGTGCCGTGGTGGGGAGGGGGTGCAACAAAGCACAACAAATTATTTAACCTTTTATGCTGAAAAAGATAAAAATAACATTGGTGGGAGGGTGAGATCAAGGAGTCCAAAGAATAACTGGCAACCTCTTAGCTTCTTGGGTTCAAGTTTGGTTCTAGACATCAAACTATACCAATCCACATAGTGGTCCCTTGGGTATTGCTCCCAACAGTCACAAGTGCTGAACTTACCAATTCGGATAATGTGCACAGTGATGTAGATGTCCTTCCTGAGGTCACTGCTACCTAAATCCTAGTGAAAAACAAGGGCTGGTTATTTTAGAATTCCTATTCTGTGCAGCAATACTCAAAAGAGCTTCATGTGTTCTCTCACAAACGAGGACAAAGATACACATAGACATCTGTAATGGAATGCTTAGGGCAAAAAGACACTGTTCAAACTCAGGTCTAAATATGTCACTACTACTGATTAACCCACGTAAAAGAAACACTTAGGAATAAAGGCCATTGTTAGACCACTGTTGATCAAATCTCTTCCACATTTACTCTTTTAGCACTTAAAACGCACGGACTGATAGCCACTGCCATGCCAGGTCTGGTGTCCCAGAGTCAGCATTAATCTAACAGGTATGTTAAATAGAGTAAAACATACAGTATATGAGGCAAGTCAACTGTTATGGATGTCAACCAGAATGCCAGCCATTGCAATCTAGGAGTTATTTAAGATGTTAAAGCAGAGTCATGATTTTGTCTTTCAATAACTTCATTCTCTTAAGCAATAAACACAACGTGTGCACTTACCACAAAGAGAGAGCAGTGTCGTTCGGGCTTATCTGGGGCTTTGGGGAGGCCATTTCTATTCAGTCTCAAGAAAAATCTCTCACTGCAAAGGAAAGATAGCCAAATACTTAGAAAATTACTTCATGTTTATCTTTTGCTAACTGTTCTTCACCTAAAAGCCCAATATTGGGGAGCACAGAATGCAACAAACATTTGCTTCATTTCTGATAGAACTGGCAAAACAGTAACTGTATAAATGCACATGCAAAAAACTAACCTTTCTAGCAATAGGATGTTTCCTTGTCAGTAGCATCACTGCTATTATTCCAAACAGTAGAAAACATGCATGAAATGAAAGAGTAGAAACTAATTTTTCCTGCATTTGGAGCTAAGATGCTTTAATGATTTACATTATATTGCTTAATTTAAATTAACAGATGGCTTTGTAGTTCATTATCTTCTATGTCTATTCTTTAAAACACAAATGGAAGTTTCAATTCATGATACTTGAATTTACATTGATCTACAAATAAACAGAGCTTATATTTGATAATACAGTGTCATCCAGGTCTACAGCAAACACAAATAACTCACTCTGTCACCCAGCCGTAATTTAAGAATTTATGTTTGTGAATGCCATACATATTCAAGGTAATATATGACACAATTATTTATGTGCAAAAATTAAAACAATTGTCTACCCAAGAAATATTAATACATTCACTATCTCCAGCTTTAAATCTCCCAGTGAACTTTGAAATCTGATGGAAAAATCAAATAACTGGCTGCCTCAGGCAGGGAACAAAAATCCAATATCCACTGAATGTGAAATGATCACATGATATGGCCTTGGCTATTTCAGGTTTAGCTTAGTGAAGAAGAAGGCAAGTGAGGTGCTTAACATTAGCACAAGGCTCATAGCCTACCAGGTTTGCACATCCATCACCATATCCTTGCCTTAAATAATGGCTGTACCATTCAAATACTACAAGGGGGAAAATGAGAACCATAAACAGATCTCTAAGGGAGGATATGGGTTTCAATTTACAATGGCTCTGCAACACTTCTATTCTCTTTTGTGATAGATGGATACATTTAGCAGATTCAACAGCCTGGCTAATCTCATCGTTTTCTTATATCATGCCTATTCATGACCTCTCATGTGAGAAAGGGCAACCAATACACATTTCTACAGGGCCACTTCCATTCCTCTGAGCCAAGCTTCTTCTAGGAGTAGGTGGCTGAAACAGTGTGAATAGGGAGAAGATAAATTGCTGCAAGGTTCTTCAAGTGAAGTGACAGTTGCCATGTGAGTCTGAAGTGTAGGCTGGGAAGAGCAAATACAACTGAGGATGCAATGCAAAGTAAATCTCATCCAATGCTCATTATATATATATATGTGTGTGTGTGTGTGTGTGTGTGTGTGTGTGTGTGTGTGTGTGTGTACATGTATATATATACATATATATATTCTATTATATACTATATTAGTATGTATTATATTAAAAGACTATATGGTCTTTTAATAAGGAAAAAATCATTATTGTTTCAAACTTAAGATATGATCAAAGGAAGCTGTTATAATAAGTCTTTACTTTGAAGCCGCCCAAGCCCTGCCGCTATGAGGGCACTTTCTGCCAGACCACCTGAGTTCTGCCCGCTGCCACGTGAAGGTCCCAAGTAACACACAGAGACTTATATTAGGTACAAATGCTGCTTGGCCAATGATTAGGATTTCTCATTTCATCTTATCTTATTTCTTATCTTATCGAACGCCAGCTGCTGGTGTCTTCTCTTGCTGGGATCACATGGTAGCTCCAGAGCAGAGAGAAGGAAGAAGAAAAAAAGGAACAACTTCCTTCTTGCCTTTGCTTATATATGAGTCTGCCTGCCATGTCACTTCCTGCCTGTATCACAAGACTTCCTTTTACTACATTTCCCAGAATCCTCCTTGACTCCTAGTCCCATCTAACCTGCTTCTTCATTGGCCAACAGTACTTTATTCAACAACCAATAGGATAAACATATACAGAGAAGGCTATTCCCCATCAGCAAGTACATATAGATTCATTACCCAACAAGGGAACTCTACTTAAATAGTCATATTAATGGTCAATCCTTTTGAGAACTCATCATTTAACAGGCACTCTGTTAACATCTTCATATGGACTGACAAATCTGATATACCTCATACCCTCAAGAAGGATGCACTATTGTGCTACCTATTTGAGTGATGGACAAACTAAGAAAAGAGTTTTGTCTAAGATCAAAGAACTAGTGTCTAAGAACTATGTCTTGTGTCTTTGTTCAAAATATTTGCTCCTCATCTGAAAGTGATAGTTAAATTATTTTTCTATTCTAAACAAATATTGGGCAACTATTTCATTAATATGGAAAAAATAGACAATTATGATAATGAGCACTTGTGAGGCTGAGACCAGAAGATTGTTATGAGTTTTAGGCCAGTCTGGGATACAGGGCACATACTAGGACAGCCAGGGTTACATAGCAAGCCCCTGTCTTGAAAATCCAAAACGGAAAAGACACAGTCATCTGTGTATCTGGGATCGTCACGTTATACTCACAGTCACACCAGGCCCCCATCTGTGTATCTGGGTTGTCACGTGACACTCAATGTCACACCAGACCCGGAGGCTTCAGATTAGCATCATTTCTTTCCCATGCCCACAGGGACTAAGGAAGCACTAACATTGATTCTGCAGGCTACAATGCAGTTCATAGTTGAAATTTGTATCCTGACAAGTTTGATTTCAAATGAAAAATATGACTCAGGACATAAATTCTACTAACAAAGACAAAACTGCCCCCAAATTTAAGAATATGTTTTTATTTAGTTGAAACTGCTAAAGTTTAAGCAGTCTCAAGGTTTAAACAATGGTGTCACTTAGCTCCTTATTGATCTGTGTACAGTTAGTTACTAGTTATACCTTAGCACACAGCACAAGCAGTGTAAGTACATTCTCCTGGTCTGTATTGTGGACAGTGAGCCCCATATCAGGCTGTGAAGGGGCTTTGGTGTGAGGCACCTTCTCATCTTCATTGAAACACTTAAGAAAATGTCACACTATATTATGATTTACCTATTGAAAATGATGTTCATCAATAAAACTAATATGCAAAAAACTAAGACATTTTGCATATTAAAACCTCAATTCAAATACTGTTATAAAAAACTATTCATTAACTTCAAGTTTCATTAATATTTGGATAAAAGCATCTTCTAAAGAATTCTGTGCCAGGGAGAGATCCTTTCTGCTCTGTCACTATTTTAATTTTACTCGTCTAGACAGAACTCTGATTATGCAAGTATTATACTATATCATATCCTGTTCCAGAAAGAACATCAATACATACTAAGCCAGCAATGTATCCTTTAGCTTAAGCATGCCTTAGAGGGGAAGATAAAAATAGGTTCAAAATGGGTACTATGAAGCAATAAGTCATTTGCAATTTATTAAAAACCAGACAGAAAATCTCCATGTCCAATAAAAAAACCAGCCTGTTCATTTGGTGACATGGTGTTGGTTTACAAAATCAGTTTCCTTTCAGCTTTAGAGATACCACAACTACTTATTCAGGAAATAGTTTTAGAAAAAAATGGCCTTCAGCAATGCACTTAGGAATCTTTGATTCCCTACAATCACATTTAGAGGATATCATAACATATGTTTTCTGAGCCAGGAGAGGAACCAAACAGGTCAAAGCTAGTTCATTCTAGCACATCTGGCTGTCTCAAGATAGTCAAATGTAAAAGTTAGTGGCCACACACACATGTGTTTCCGATGTTAGGTTTTAGGTTAGCTTCTACTGCCATTCTCTCATGTGATAGAGAAATAATTAGTATTTTGTGAACTTACAAGTACCTTATTAGAAGATGTGCACGACTCATTAAGTAATTTCTATTCCTTCCTGCACCAGAGGTTTGTGTGTCTGCCTTATACTATGGGCAACTGGAATACAGGTTTGTAATTAGCAACATGTACATCTTCAGCAACTACCAATGACTTGGCAGTCCTTGACTAGACTGAACAATCTTTTAAGGCAAAACAAAACTAAAAACAAAGTTGAATTTCAAATATCTGGAGAGTTTTAATGCCTTCTCAACAGTCCCTTTCCCCATGAGGTTTGAAAAGAAAAAAAAAAACTTTACAGTAGGAAAACATGCAGAATTTCCTGGTAACATTCCAACCAATGGTGCCTCGTGACCAGTTGTTGGGAATCACCTAATTAGCACACAGTAGCTCAGAATTCTTGATCAATTCGCCTTCCTTCTCTTCATGTACATTTCACATTTTTATTACATGAAACAGGATACATAAAACACACAGTGGTATAGTATTTAAAAAGTAAATATAACACACAAAAAAAAAATCCAGTAGCAAGCAAACCTACAGTGACATGATGCTTCCTAATAGTTTCTTCTTAAATATTAAACAAAAGAATTTGTCAGACACACTGGGAAATAAGACTTGATATATAATCAGTAGAGGAAAAAATCATTATTTGAATTTTTTTCTACTGCCATGGAAGAAATTCACTACTGGGGAAATTTAGAATCACCTGAATTCTATATCTGAGCCATTATAAATCACAACTCTAAATTTATTCTACTGACTAATTCTTTCTTTGGAAATAAAGAAGAAATCATAATTATTATTTATAACCTACTTTCATCTAATGATGTTAGGAGGAAAAAAATACAATGAAAGAATATAAATAAGCATCCATGGTGGGATGCCTGGGGAAAAGTAATGAAGGAAACTCTGTACTTTGTGCCAGACTCTATAATTTAGGCTTTACAAAGATCTCATTTAATTCCCACAACTGCCCTACTGGGTAGGAACTATTATCTCTGTCTGATACAGGAGAGAGCTAGAGCTTGAAATATTAGGCAAGTTGCCCAAAGGTGCATAGTCATCAACATCTGGAATCTGATTGGAGAGTCTTGACTCATTCACGGTACTCTGTCTTTGACAGAACGGAGAAATAATGGACAAAGAAGGGTAAGACTACACTAGAAGGAATAACTTGGGTTTTTCTTTTTTCATTTTAAGAAGTTTAAATGAAGTTAAAAATACTTAA